TTTTTTGGAGCTACAGAGTGCTGCGCTGACGGCACTCGGGCCAGATGCTCCCGAGCGCGGTCGGGCCAGGCATGGAGCCCTGGAGGAACTGTGCCGAGCCGAGTGAAGAAAAGGGAACAGGGTCAGCAGGGGCTGCGCAAAGTCACTAGCAGAATGCAAAAGTGGTCCAACGGTGCTAATGGGCCCTTTGATAATTTGTGAAAATTGGATGCCGCACCTTGAAGTGCAAGGGGTGCTTGCAGGAAATAAGGTGCCAGGTGACCAGGTGCGTGTGTTTGCACGGGAGTGTGTTCACCTCCTTTGACAGGACGAAACTGAGTGTCCAGTTCGGTCAGGAGCCTCGAAGCTCATGCCTCAAACTAAGCAACGCTGCATCCTGCGGTCTTCTGCGGTCTCCAGACCTTTTTTGGCCCCAGCCATCCAACACGCAGCATCCACACCTTCCCAGCCTGACTCATGGCACGTCTCGCTGCATTCTGCGCCTTGGCTGCGGTGCCTTGGAAGTTGCGATTGTTTTGGAGGGGGCTTTGACCATCAGTAAGTAAGGTCAACCAGGTTGATGTGTGAGGCCAGGTCACACGAGATTCTTCAAGCTTGATTGTTCTGGCTGCTTGATCCAAGTTGTTGGCCCGCCAAGGCAAGACCAAGGAAGTTTATAGGCATTTGTTCTAGAACTGTCTAGGCCCTTTTGACAGCGTGTGTGGGAGATGGATTGTACTACAACCCAGCACTGCATAAGGTCGCTTAAGCCTTTGTGCCGTGTAAGCTGCTGACTTGATACAAACATGTTTTGCATTCCACATTCGACTTGGTGTAGGTGAACAGGCCTTAGCGATTCTCTTGGGAAACGTTCCATAGGTACCTGACAGGTCGAGGAGAGTCATTGCAGTGGCGCCAACGGCCATGCATTGCGGAGCAGGTCGACAACATCTTCAAATCTAAGTGTCCTTCCCTGGCTGATGTGAATGAGCTAGTCGAGCTTGTTCAATTTTCTACTAGTTCGTCGTGTGCTTGTGCAAGTAAACACTCTTGAGGCTCCATTGTTGTTTGAGTAAGCCCCCTCCTACTCTAATATCCTCGATTCATTTGGGCCTGCGGAGCTTTGGAGCCTTGCCAGAGTATGACAACGATGCACGGACAATTTTTGGAATCCCTTTTGGCCAAGGCCCTCTGCATGCTCCGAAACATCGCCTTTGTCCCAGCACCTGCGCGCACGACCGCGGACCCTGCAGTGGCAGCTGGCGCAGCAGTATTGGCCACCGTGCCAATGGGAGCAGATGCCTTCGTCTTCAAAGGCAGCCTGTTTGGCAAAGATACGAGTCTGTCATTGAATCATCGTTGCAGGCATCTTGTGAACCACTTGGTGGGATTGTGCTTTGACTTAGTCGGAGTAATTATAGTATGGAAAAAACCTACCCGCCGAATGACACATGGAGAATCGCGCTGGTTCCTCATGGTTCTCGACCCAGATTGTCACCATTAAGCTATGACTGTGCGCGAAACGAAAAGGGAACACGAACACCCGTGATATTGCATTCTTAGTTTCATTCTTTTCTCACTATATATATATATATACATATAATGATCTCTAATCCAAATTCTTAGACACTGTTGTGCGAACAGTGGCAGACAAAGTGTCCTTCACATTTCCTAAGGTAAGGAGTACTTCGACGTCTTCTATGGCTGCTCGGCCATCAGCATGAGATCATGGAGTTCAAAAGGGCTTTGCCGATTGGTTTCTCTCGCCGGTCTATGACTGAACGGAGCTGATCCAAAACGATCAATCGTGGGGGTGAAGTAAGTGGGCACAACATGGTACAACACAGCTTATATAACTTAACTTCAAAGATTCCGAATCGAACGTGGTCTGAGTCAAACGCTGGCCACGTCCGAATGCTGGCACCTCTAAGACGAGCCTCTGAGCACATCGGAGCCTCTGAGGCATTGAGCCTTTGGCCTGGGCCTTCTGTGGCTTCGTCATCGTCTACTACGGAGCCGTGGTGAAGAACGCCGCGCAAAAGCGCCGTGGACGCATAGAAAAGATGGGGGGAAAGTGGCAGCACTGCGGAAGGACATGCCTGCTGTGATTGTCTCCTCCAGTTCTTCTTGTCCAATCCATGGCTGGAGATGCATAGTTGACGGTTGAACTGCTAGTGTTATTGTTGTAATATGGTGAGTGTATAGGCATTTTGCATCGCTTTGTGGGGTCGCCCTTCACAAGCGGAATTGTTTCATGTCAACTTCTGCCAGAAGACAAAAGATCCGACAGTTGAGGCCCCCAGGGATGTCTGAGGCGGTTGCGCCCAGGTACAATGTCCCCATCCAGAAGATCCCTCCCAAGGTTGGAGCCTTCGTTGGCAAGGCAAGCCTGGAGAGAAGGGCTTGCGATGGGCATTACATGATTATTTATATACTTGGTGCCGTTTTGTGGGGATCATTTCTCTGCCAGGAGGTTGAG